TTTAAATCTCGAAAGAGACACTTGATCGAGTCCATGTGCATGATTTTAAATATAATTTTGGGTTGTGTAACATTTTTTTATGAGTCCAAAACACATAGAGTTGAGATTGTTTTGTTTGAGGTGGAGCATCTTCAACCTACTTTCTATTTCCTCTCTTTTAGTTAGTTTAGCTTAGCCAAATACAATAAACTCTATTCAACTTTCTTTCTATTTCTTATTTCACCAATTCAGTCTCTCTAAATGTGGAGAGTCATTTAGTCTTTCTAAATTCTCTCCCTATCTCTCTATATATATGTTTTATTCCCTTAGAAGTTAGTAAAAATTGGGTGAAATAATTAGCTAAGATAGAGATTGTGGTTGAAGTGAATTTATAAAATTGACTAACTGAAATAACAAATATAATATTTAAATTGGGTTGGAGATGTTCTTAAGACGGAGATGAAATTGTGATAAATATAATCAATCAAAATTTAATCTAATCTTTACTCTTTTCCATGCTAACGTCAGATATATGCAACAAGCCAAAGCAGCAAGAAGATAATCCAGTGATGAGAATTTGGAGTTATATATGAATGTACTTTATATAAAAAAGAGTAGGATTTGATTTGATTTTCTGTCATTTTTAATATAGTAGTGTAAAAAAATAGTTCAATAGATAATAACAAAGTGAAAAATCCACCTTCCAAAAAACAAAAAAAATTAAGTGAAATATCCACAATGTTATAATAATATCATGTCAAACGTATCACAGGGGAAGGAATGTCTTGTCGTCCTCGTCGTGTACGTTGGGTTAGAGGAAGATGATGATGTAGGGACCTCTTGAGAAGGGACCCACATTAGTGTGATGATATGGTATGTCCCACACACCCTTTGAGTACCGCACAACTTTACCTCAGAGAGAGAGAGAGAGAGAGAGAGAGAGAGAGAGAGAATGTGGTTTTGCAAACTCAGCCTTGCGTAGTTTTGGCAAAACTGGAATTGTAATTTGCATGATAATGGGGTGGCAGGCAAAACATATGGTAGTGGTGGGGTCATTCTGATATTATGAAAGTTTATTAGATTCCGCCCTCCCTTCTCTCCTCTCCTCTCTTAAGCCGAGTCAAGTTTTTTTGGGTAACGAAAAATTGTCCTAACGATAAGTCTTTACTCTTATGGTTACAATAGGTATTCCATGCATAATAATTATGTGTTAATCACATGCATAGGGTAATTTTTTTTTTTTTTTTTTTTTTGGTTGTTTAAGAGTGATTGATCATTGTGAGATCTCTACATTTACGTCTTATATTTGTTTGATCATTAAATTAACTTGTGCAAGTTTACACCGAACAATTGATTATAGTACTTGCAAAATTCTTCATATATGACTATCGTAAACCTTTAAAAGGAAAATCTTAAAAACATTGAGCAATTAAGAAGGGAGGTCACTATAGAACTATCGAAAATAAATGATGGAAATATATCAGAATGTAGATGTCACCCTAGACATTTCGTGAGATAAATTAGCTCAACTTCAATCTCGCGAGAGGTGGTTGTACCAGTAGCATAGCAAAAGAGATTTGAACAGTGTCTATGTCGGTCCAAAATATGAGATGATCCTCATGCTTGGTGTAATTAATTAAAAATATCAGACACCAAAATCAATATTGTGGGTATTGGATATCCAATAATTTGGATAATGTCAAATGAACAAGTAAACTAGAGAAAATGAAAAGAAAACTAAAACTTTGGTTAGTGGAGTGTTTGATTTCATAAATTCAGCTAATTGCAAAAAAGAGAGCATCAATAGGATTGCTAATGGAGTGATGTGGGATGCATATCGTGTTAATATTCTCTCTAAGTCAAATTCAATTTTTTTTAATCGTGTATAACTGGATTCATTTTCTGCATAAGTCATGTTTAGTGAGTTCATGCCATTTTTAGCCGGGATTGTATCGATCAATTTATTTAAGAAAATGTTACATAATTCAAATAAAATTTAAAAGTTAAAACTCAAATGTATAACATCGTTTAGATGAATGGGTCCCACTGAAAAAATTAATAGACCCACTTATTTAAGAAACGATATATATTTGAGTTGTAATTTTTTGAGTTTTATTTAAATTTTATAGCATTGTTTATTTATTTAAGGGGTTGTAGGAGTCCACCTCTTTATGAGTTCAATTTATTAAAAATAAATCTATATTTATTAATTTTATATTGATTCCATGTCGACTTTGTATAGGAACATCGTCACTGAAACCAATTCCTGTTCTGTGAAACAACTGTTAAAGGGTATTGTGTGTCACCACCACTACAACTTTTTGTTTTCATTTTCTGCTTTAACTGACCTACCAAAATCTGTCTTATTTTTTTTTTTATCTCTTTTTAGTAATCGTCTGTTGTCACCTAAAACCCTTTCTAAGTGTATCTATAATATAAAACAGGATAAACTTCAAAAAATACATTCGACAATTTTTAAAATTATTTATATTATACCGTCCCTTCAAATATGAATTATCCTTTGTATGTGTATATATATAGTACTCAAATTTATTTATTTAAAAAAAATTACTTATTTTGGGTTCAATTAATATCTATAATATTTATAAATCGGTGTTCCAACTTGTAATCCACTCTAAAGTGAAATTAAAGAATAATGAACCGATTTGATTAGAAATTTGAGGCCAAAATAACTGTAATTGGGCAAAGTGGAAGATGACACAAAACTTGGGTCCTACCTCATTTGGATTGATGAACTGTAAATGGAACAATACTCATGACATATGCATAATGCTGCCGCATATAAACTCCATTCCGATCACATCACAACCCAAATGATGTGGTGGGAAAGGAAGTTTTTCTAATAGAGTTTCTTTAATTTATATGGTACCCAAACTTCAAAATCCATATCTATTTTTTTTTGGTGCAACGATAGAAGTTTACGCTAATTTATGCGTATCTTGATTAATTTTTTCTTCGAAACAATCAAAAATAGGTTATTCACCCCGAGATTAGGGAATTCATAAAAAATATAAATCTCCTATGTCCTGATCCTAAATAGTTGTTAACATTCAAACTCAAAATATCTGAATTTACAATTCGTTTATATTATCACATGAACTACCATTTACAGTTAAACTCATATATATCGACTGTTATAGCAAATACCCACAATAAATTGATCATATTATAAGCGAAAAAAATTGTCTAAATACTTAGTTTTTGGTCAAGAAGGAAATTAGCTTGGGAGACAAAATATCTTGTTGCCTTTAGGTTGTTATGGAGCTAGCTCGTTCAAATTTGGATTCAAAAATTTTTAAAAATTTATTTATTTTTAATTTTTTTCATAAAAGATCACGCACCTTAAATGTGAAATCCATTTATATCTTATTGAGTTTCCCTTCAATTCACTATAGATAATTTATCAAGAAAAAAATAAAAAATTTGCTGATCTATATTTTAAATCTTTAAATTAAGTTGAAATGAGATCGATGAATTTCATACAGTATTGACTATTTCCATCCCATACGGATCCATTCTCACTCGATTAAAATTTTTATAATCAAATTATTAAATCCATCCCTTTTATATATATATATATATATATATATATATATATATATATATCATATTTTAACTAAGTTCACATTATGTTATACACACCCCTTTAATAATAAGTCCACATTTTATTCATTATTTTCTCTCTTACACCTTACATGAAAGAGCCTTTTCAATATAAATTTTTTTAGAGCATCTCTAATAACAAAAGTTATTTTAGCTACTCAAAAAATAATATTTTTTATTTTAACTATTCATTTTTTCAATACACATTTTAATAAATTTTTTATATTTTTAACTACTTTCTTTACATATTATTTCTTATTCTTTTTTTATTATTGTTCTTTTCTACAACTAAATTTTGAAACAACCATCATTCTCAACAATCATTGAGTTTGGGGACCCAATCAATTCATCATCAAGAGACCACTTCCGTAAGAGATTGGTGAAGCATTCATTCATTGCACTTGTGAATCCATTCAACAAGCTCATAACAGGGGCAAGGAAAATATAGTAAAAATAACTTGAAGTAGTACAACAATAGAAGAGTAATTTGGGCGGAAGTAAAAATGGGTTTTTGTATGTGTGCAAGAGAAGAAGAACAGTGAGAGGGATCTTGATTTAGGAGTGGTGAGAGTTATATTTCGAACTGTTGGAGGGAGCAAGAGACTAGAGGGAAAGACAATGGAAGGAAAAAGAAATAAAGAGAGAGAAAATAATATAAATTATGTATACAATTTGTTACAGTGATACTCTATATTTAGAGTATCATTGTAGCAAAAATCTATTATAAAGCATCTAAACATTGTTCTGTTGGAGCATTTTTTTTACTTTTAATTGAAAAAAGTCTTCTGTGTAGGGTGTATGAGAGGATATAGTAAATAAAACTCTAATTATGAGAAGATAAAATGTAAATTTGTTATTAAAGGAGTGTATAGACATGAATTTAGTTAAAATGAGGTAGATATAAAAATAATAAACTTAATTGTTTAAAAATAAAAATTTTAATGAGATAAAAATAAATATTTATGGTGGTGAAAATACCTCTAACCATTTCATACACGAAAAATGTTATTTTGATATAAAAATTTGACATAATTTATTGACTTAATAACGTGATTTCATTGAAACTATTAGATTAACACAAAATTTTAATATTTAATAGAATGCACAATTAATTCAAAAATTATAATAAATTAAATCAATAAATTAAATTAACAAACTAGATCCTAATAACATTGCCCTTTCGTATACGTCCCCACACATGAATGATTCGAGGCTGTGAAATCATCAATGAAGCCCAAGTGCGTCTTACTGTACACTTAGGTGTAGGATCCCACCATTCATTCTAATGACGACATAATTCACTAAAATCCAAAAATCCACTTCTTGCAAGTTACAACCCCCTTCTCTCTCTTTATCTCCTCCCCAAACCGTCTATAAATTCACCTGAACCCACCTTCGCCTCCTCAATCCAATCCTCCTCCACCACCACCACCGGAATATCTCTTCCTGAATATCTATACAGGCCTTTTACATAAAATGACGACGGTAGAGACCTCAAGCGCACAGTCGACGGCGGCGCAGCAGTCGCCGTGGCACTCGCCTGTGCCGTACCTCTTCGGAGGACTTGCGGCGATGTTGGGTCTCATCGCCTTCGCTCTCTTGATCCTTGCATGCTCATACTGGAAACTCTCTGGCTATCTCGATGGCGACGAAGGAGAAGGTGGCGAGAGAGACATAGAGGCCGGCGACGGTGACAAAGATTCCGATAAAAACTTGAAAGCACCACCGGTCTTCGAGCAAAAGTTCCTGGTGATCATGGCCGGACAAGAGAAGCCAACATTCTTAGCCACACCCATTTCCAGCAGAGCTTCATCGTTTGGTAGTAACAGTAGTAGCAATGAAACGGCAGAGAAATACGAGGAAGAGAGAGAAAAGACTAAACAAGGGAATGATGTTCAGGTACAGATGGTGAACATGGAGAGTCATGAGACTCCAGATCAGGTCCCTTAATCTAATTTTTCTTTTCTTTTTGGACGGTGAAAAATAGGGTTTCATGTGGTATGATGGGTATGAAGGGCTCTTTGTAACAGGTTTTTGATTTGGCCTGTGTGAGTTCCTGAATTTGAGGTTGCATGTTAGATTTTTCACTTTATTTTTTGTTTTAATTTCGGAATGTAAATATTTTTTGGAGAATAGAATGAAAGACTTAGCTATTCTTCTTCTTTTTCCATTAATTTTCTTTAGTTTTTCTGGGTGTTTCGAGCCTAGCCTGCTACGTAAAAATTAAATCATTATTTGTTTTGTTCAATTATCTGGGGTGTATTAACCATCTTATGTACATCTCGATTAATTCTTTATTTAGTTTTGTCAAAGACAGATCATTAACGTAATGACTAAGGTATTCAAAAAGTTATTAAGGATCAAATTCAATACTTATAAATTCACGACTAATTTTTATTATCACTTGAGTCACCGTTGATTTAAGTATATTAAACCTATAGCGGTCCAAAATTTATACTTGTAGTTAGCTGACGATTAGAGAATTTACTGTATTTATTCTGCCCAACGAATAATGAATCGGCCGGTCTGTGTTTCAACCGGTTTCGCCCCAGTAACCAGAGAAAAGATGACGATCTATGCATCCAGTTTCAGACACTAGGGCTTGACATGCTGATAGTACGTGTTATTTTGTAATTGGTCACTGACAGATGATGAGGAGACGTGTAGGGCATTTGAACGAAGGTGTCTCTATTATGCGGCGAGCTGAAACTGTGCCGGATTGTACATTTCCTAGGCTATTTATGACACTTAACTAGCCTTCCAAATCTGTTGTCTGTGGCAACTCCTTTGAATTCTTATATCCTAATAGGGAACTTGTTAACACCAAAGCTTGAATTTTTTTTTGGTAATACCCAATCGTTTTTAATTATGTAACTACGTTTTTGAAGAATAAGATTAGATATTGGATTTATTTTTTGATACTGTACTATAAATTACAATTTTTAGGTGTCAAATTATAAATATTCAGAGCCTTTAGGGTTGATAGTAAAATTTGATTATATTTTTTCAGAATCGATATTGACTTATTTGTTATAATTTTAAAAAATTAGAACTTACACGTTATGTGAATCAATTAAACTCGAGTCTTATGTGAAACGTACTTGTTCACAACTCACCCATTGTGTGACCATAAACCAATTTGTGCTGATTAAATTTTACATATTTTCCCTTTCATGTAAACATGGATTATGGCTTAAGTTAATGATCGTTGATCTTGATTTTGAAAGTAACATGGACGAGCTGTAAATCTAAATATCTTAAATACGAATCTTGATAATTCCTTGGACCTAGATCATAAAAAATTTATCATTTATAAATACTCTAGTTCTGACGTGAATGGTCTATCTTTAACCGGATCGACAGAAATTGGCCCGCACAATTGAAAAAATAAAAAGATTTTGAAGAAAAAGCTATTGGAGAATTAAACAAAAAAACTACTGGAGAATTAGACATAGTGTGGGGTGTTATTTGGGGGATGTAGAAAATTGTTGTGGTCAGATGTATGAGATAAGCATTCAATAATATGCCTTCCACAGCAGCAAGCATTTACATTTTGGGTGGAACATTATTTTGGGTCCTGCACATTATTAAGTCATTGTGCATGGTTATTGGGTGGTACTCCATTAGTGGAGTATATAAATATCACTAATATTTTTTCGACTTAAAAGTATTTTAGTGGAATGCTATGTAATTAAGTTACATAAAAATGAGACAAAAACAGAACCAAATGATGACGTCATTTTAGTTCCACACACACACATATATATAGGACAAAAAATGCAGGTTTATTGTAAGTGCCGCATAATTTGATCCTTGTATTAAGGATAAGTAATCCACTAAGAAATTACACAGGCAATACACAATTTTCAAATTCCATGTTCATATACAGTTGGTAATTCAGTCAATAAAAAATTAAAAAAAGCTAGCTAGCTAGCTAGGTCTGCATGCAAGAAATTTGACGTGTTTTTAGTTGAAATTAGTTAAAGACCCAGACTAGATTAGGCTGGTAGAATTCATATTTTATATTACAAAGATTGAATGTAACAATTCACAAGGGTTTCCATGACTGCAGCCAAAAATATTTGTCAACACAAAAAAGTTCAGATAAACGACTGACTGATCACTCGACAAACTTGCAAAACGTACCACATGCACTAATGGAGAGAGAGAGAGAGAGGGAGAGAGAGATGCGGCAGGGCGAGAATGGTCTTGTAGTACTGTACAGTACAATCTTTTGGATTTTCGAAAGGGAGAAACACACTTTATACCCTAAAAGATTTAAATTTTTTTTTTATCTTAAAAGATTAAATTCTTCATATTACACCCTCAATTTATTAAAAATGTTAATGTGATATTTTTATTAGATTTTCTGTCATTGTCAATTAAGAGATTTTTGATGAAAAAAATAATGAAAACTAATAGAAAGAATATATTATAATATTTTTAATATATTGTGGGTGTAATATAAAAAATTTTAACTTTAAGGGTACAAAATAAAAATCTCACAATTTGTCCCTTTTCAAAAACAAAAAAACGGTGGAAACTTGTACTACCATTGATGTTAGATACATATCAGTGAGTGCCCTTGTTTTTTGTTTACTTTTAATGTTTGACAAGTGTTTGTGGGATTCTGCCCTTGTTTTCTACTGTCTTCCGTTTTCCTAATTAGAAGATGCTCATCCATTTCTTTTTATTTATGTTGCCACCTTTTCTTTTACATCCATGCATGTTCCCCATCAATGTAACCAAAAAATTCTCCCTTGTTCCATACACATTTATATGGGTTAATTATAATATGACCCTTCATACTATACCCATTACCTTGTTGCAATCAGTTCATTATGATTTTCAAATGATACAATCTATCCTTTTAAGTTTTGAGTGAATTAAATTGATGACTGAAATGCGGAAGGACTATTCCATTATGCATCTTGTATATTATTTTTTACATTTTGTTTTTGTGATATACCAATTCTATCTCTAAATATAAAGAAACAAAAAAGCCAAGACAAAATATGTCCATTCAGCCCAACACCAACAACCCTACACGACATCATGTTCGTTTTCACCTTCGCCTCCACCTCCATCTCTGCCTAAAACCAACACATGTGCACACCCACACTTTTCCAAGGATAATTATGTCTTTTCATTAAAGTAGAGATCACATGAATTTCTTATGTCTAATTTTATCATTTTTATGGTCGAAAATTAACTATTGGAATTAATATTATTCAAACTTAAAATAGACTATTTGTTAAAATTAAAACTTAAAGATGTGAATGTTAAACTATCCAAAGTTAAATGAAGTATTTTGTAATTAACCCTATTTATATAAACACAGTTTTGTCTGTATGTGTAGATATGAGAATAAAATAAGAAAAATTAGTTGATCCACTGCTGAGAGGATGCACCTCAGTATATCAGAGTGAGAAAGATCAAAAGACAACAAATAATTATGATGATTAAGGTGGCCATTAAAGAATCTAGGGTTCTTTTAATACGTTGACTTCACTTTTCTCTTAGATAAATCACTCATCCCGTGTTAATGAGATATGTCTTACTTGAATTCACAATAGATGATCTTAATTTTGACCTATCTTAATTTCGTATCCAGATATTATATTTGCATGGATGATATACATTTTTCATGAAATGGAGATGTTCTGGAACTAAATTACATGCATTGGCAAAAATATAAATAAAGACTGGTATTTTAATAATAAATGTCAATATTTACCAATGTTTTGATTTCAAATACCAACATTTCCAAATTTTCTTACAGTGAAATCGAAGAAAAATCTCTCTCTCTCTCTCTCTCTACAAAAGCAAAATTAAGATGAACACATTCTCTATTTTTTCTGAAACTCGATTTTATTGTAATTTAAGTACAAAATACCACCTAAACTATTAATTCTCATAAAGGATCCAAAATAAAATTTAATTTAATTTCAATTTTTTTTAATAAAGTTGTTACTCGTAGAAAATAAAATATAAAAATTATTTAGGTAAAAGTTACAAATATAAACAAGTAAATAATCCTAAAAAGTTTGAAGATAGTAGAATAATTTAACAAAAAGATAGTAATGAATTAACATTTTTAATAGTGGTCAATCATGTAAATTAAAATTTTAAAATATTATTAAAAATTAAAAAGTCTCATTAACATTTATTGCTTTAAGCTTCATATATTCTTGAGCCACCCCTAGATACAACCAATTTTATGCAAATAATTCAATTATTTTTATATTCCCAACAAACTCAGCTATATCAAGATCTATTTGCTAAGATAAAAGGGGTTGGAACAAAAGAAAGCACCAAGAGACCACTTTGAGATACCTTCATTAGTTGGATAATGAGGCTCTTGACCGTTTTTGTTATTCCTATTGAGAACGAACCTAGTTAGACTAGCATAACAATCAACTATCGAGCCCTAATGTGAACTCCAAAACTCGAACCTCTAATCTCAGAATGAGAAGTCTGATCGGTACCCCTTCGACCACCCAGTCGGTGGTAGACTGTAGTACTTCATCATTTGAGTATGAATACTATACATATCATTTGGTTGCTGCATAAAAGCTGCAATTTCTTCGATTTGGCACTTTCTCATCTCCATTTTGTGAATGGAATATGGCATCATCTGGTTGAAGAAGAGTCACCATCACCTTTATGTTAGCAAATTTGCTTACACCACATGAACAGCTCAAAGCAAGCAAATGAAATGGTGCTACAGTCACACCCATTAGGGTCATAATCCAACAAATTGCTCAGCAACAATGGTTTGTTCAAGCTTTCTTTGTCTGGCCTGCTGCAAATTGATCAAAGATATTGCTCTGAAGGAAAAACTTGGGGGATATGGTTGTTAAAGGATTCATGCTGCTCGAGCTTGGTTCAATTATGACTCGTTTAAATCACAAATTTGACTAATTTTTTTATCGAATTACAAACTCGTTAGAAAAGTAAATTGAATCCAAGTTACAATGTGGCTCGATTCTGATGGGCTTGGTTCAAATAGGTCCGTTTGTGAGATGAAACTTTGCACCATATGCACGAGGCATTTGAGCTTCGAGGGTTTATTGTTATTGCTTACACGTGTTTTGTAGGATACTTGCCAAGCAATTGACAATTTTAAAATAAATTGTGTTGAACTTTATTTTAATACGAT